AATTTTCTGGCCTTTGCTGGAATCAGGCTGCTGTGATCTTAGCTGCCCAGGGCAGGACTTAGATTGGAGACTGTGCCAGGCCATGCATGGGCAGGAGGGATGCTTCGAGTTGTCTCCTTGCTGGTGGAACAGCATCAGCGCTGTCTTTTCCCCCATACTGTCCCCTGTACACATGCAAGAGAAGATATTTGATTCGCAGGTGCTCAGACAGGGATTTACCTGCTCCTGGGGAAACCTTCCTGGGGCCAGCCTTTGGATGGAGCTCTCAGCTCCCACCGCTTGTCTCCGTTTGTTGTCCTCTTCTCCTTGCTCCCCATGGTTATTCGGGGGAGTTAGGGCTCCTAGCAGGATTATTCCGTAGATGTAAAAACGACAGGTTTAAAAAAGAAATGGAAAATGCAGCGGGAAACGGGTTGTGTCTCTCTCTAGAGCTCGCTAACACCTCTCGAGCATGGATTGCATGCGCCACACTGTTTATAAAACATCTTGAGGCCAAGAATATGACTTGAATTTATTTCTCTAGGCATTAGCTATATTTAGTCAAATTAAAGGCGAGGGGAATGCGCTCCAAGAAAATACATGAGCAACGTTACACAAAGAAAATTTACTAGTCCACGGTGGAACGGTTGCCTCTGAGTTATTTCCCCAGCTCTCGTTATTGAGCAGTTGGATAGTAAAGTTAGGAGAGATTGCACAGCTGAATTATGACCATTGCTGCACGAAGGAGCCTCACCTGCTTTATGCGGGCTGTAAAAGAAAATGGATAATGACATTTTAAAGACTTCAAAATACGGGAGGCTTAACAGAGAAGTCTGGTGTAGCTGTGTTATGGATGCTGCTTTTGCATAATGGAGCGATGCAAGAGCCGGTCTATGGAAAATTTAGAGACTTCTCAGTGCTGTGGAGCTAGAGGGAGCTTCAGATTTGCTGTTATAAATTATGAAATGAAATAATAAGTTTGCAATGAAATGCTGTAACGATTTCCTTGTTCAGTTCTTATGAAATCGATACCTCCCTATGAAGCATTTCAGTTCTGTGGAATCAGCGTTCCCTAACAGCGCAGAACAGTTCAGGAGGTTTTGTTAAAACGCACGCTTGCAGGAAAAAAAAACAAAGTCTGGGCTTCATGAGAACAGATCGTGCTGCTGTGTTGGTGTAAGTCCTGGAAATTCAACGTGGCAGAAGCAAATGCCACCGTAGTCCTGGTGCTTGTTGCCCACAGGCTGATCGTTGCCCTTGTTGAATGGCAGAGGAGATGCTTTCCCATGGTTTTTCACAGCTCTCACTGAAAGCTCTCTTACCCCTTCCTGGATTCTGGGCCCAAATGCGTTTTGTCTCATTAATACAGCACAAAGCCTCGTGCCCTATCTGTTGTGCTCGCTCTTTTTAGAGAAAAACTTGAATCCCTCCTCGGAACTGATAAGAAACTGCCTCAGCACAGTCATCTGCACAGCGTTTCAGCAGATCAAAAGGGCTGTCGGAGCAGGGCTTGGTGGGAGTGGAAAAAGTTGGGTCAGTGGATGCTGGGAGCGGGCTTGGATAAAGCCGAGCCTGTTCCCAAATCTCCCAGGGCAGGGGAGAGCATCGGGGGTGTGATGGGATCACTGCAGAGGCAGCTTTGCTGTTGTGGCTGTAAACCTGCAGGCTTCCTAAACCAAGACAATTTGCAAAGGAGCATTCTGCGTTTATTAGGAAGGAGAGGCAGGTTTTGTCCTAGCACTGGGACATCTTTTGTTTTTACATGAAACATTTATTTCATGTGTGCATTAATGCCTGTTTTCACATCTGTATTTTCAGTATTTCAGCTAGAAGTCGTTTCCAGTTGTGACTGGAGGTTTCTCATTCAATAAATGCAGTAGACTTCAAAACACGTGCAGAAAGGTATGGCTGTAAACCCATATTGGTGTCACTGTAGGTCCTGGTCACGTCCTGGTTCACAGCAGTGCCAGAAACGAGCTGGGAAGTGGCAGGCTGCTTCTCTGGTTAGTCCACATGGTACAGGAAAAATGGGGATGCTTTTTGGGGAACCACCACACCTGCATCAAGTGAGTTGCTCCTCATAAGGTGTTTGTGCTTCTGCTGTACCTGAGATGAGCCCACACCTCCTGTGCCAACTCATCTCTTGTTGTTATGGAAATAAATATCTGTGTGCAGGAAAAATTAGCACATTGTATGTGTGCGGATGAAGAGAAGTTCGCATTGCTGACAGCACTGCAAATAATAGGAAGGGACAAAAACTGCAGGAGGTTTTTCCTGTCCATCTGTGCTGTGATGTCTGCGAGGATCTATCTGGCTGATCCATGCTCCAATTCAACATTCACGAAAACCACAGCTGAGATGTAAATCCAAATTTACAAAAACTTCAGCATCTTTTGGTTAAAACATTGGTTGGAGCTTAAAGATTTCGATGGTCTCATTTTACAAATGGGGTGCAAGAGGTGGGAAGGGAGGGTGCACGTCCCCGTTTCCAGCAGGAGGTGAGTGCAAGTGGTTAGCTCCTGCTTTGTTCCTGTAGCTCCTCGCTTTCTGTGCCTCCAGGTCCTGCAGTTCAGGCTCTCCTCCGTCCTCCAGTGGTCTCTGTACAGGAGCTGATCTTACATTCTTCATGGCTTACAATACAGCAAGCACAGAGCTGAGTTTCGGGCTGTAATTCTGAACTTTTTGCACTCTTACAACTTTTAATTGGGCTTCGGGTTATTGGCAGAATGTGGTTTTGTGGTTTTTTTTTGATTGAATTGAGTAGTCAGTGTGAATTTTTTGCTGTTCGGCCGCATGTGAGAGAGAGAGGGAGATTTTCTAAGTGTTCAGTGTTCGCATGGACATAAACAGGTGGATTTCCAGCAGAGACATTTGCATTTGAAAACCTGCTCTAAACGGGCTGGGATTTCCCAGGAGAAGCAGCAGCAGCAGTGAAACGCAGCGATCGATCAGCATAGAATTGTGTGAGCATTTGATGGGCAAAATGTTGTGGTATAGAGACAGGGCCCAAGAATACGTTCTTTGTGGTTTTGTTTCATTCCTGAAAACTGTGACTGAGAGGCTTTTATCATTTAAAAAATAAAATTAATCAGCCACGTTTTGCCTAACCTGGAAAACATCAGCGAGATCCTTTGCAACTGCGCCGGTTTTGTCTGTTTGTTTAATCCCATTTTGATATAAGAAAAACTTTGCAATCATATTTCTCATTTCTGTCTGCTTACACGTCCCAACTTTAAACGTGAAGTAATGCTCCGAGCCACTCCTTTCAGCCGCAGAGCTGAAAGCGTGTAATTTATCGTACAGAAAGATAAACTCCTTTCTTTCTTTCAAGCGGCTCGCGTTTGCTGTTTTCTTCCTTTCTTAGCTAAGCAAAGCACTCCCTTACTTATCTCAACACTTCTGTCCCGTGCCTCGTTTTTCAGGCCGAGTTCCTCGTGGTGTTTTATTTTATTTTTAAAGTTTATGTTAACTCTTAATCTGTTGAGCTGTCCCAGAAATCCGTCTGCAAAGCCAGGAGAGCACGAAAAGCCCAAATAAACGCCAATGGGGACACCTGGTGGAGGAGCTGGGAGTTGCCTGCGACACCCTGAATTAACCCCCTGGCCGTGGAAGCGTGAGTTTGCTCCCTGCTGGGGTGTTTTGGGGCACAGCAGCTGCAAGGTGCCTCTCCTCTGCTCACCTGCAGCATCCTGCACCGCTGCAAGGCAGGGGAGGATCTGCAGCAGGCAGCACTCCTGAACTGGACCTGCTCCACATCACGGGAGGTACTGCAGTGTCTTCAGACAGCAATGCGAGCAATTGCTGATGTTTTCCAGCCCACAGCAGAAGTCCTGGTTGTCCTTCAGAGGGAAAAGCCTTGCCTTTACCCCTGGCACAGCTGGGAGGTAAGAGCTCATTTATGAAGCCTGGCTTCATAAATGAGCTCATGTAAGGAGGAAGCATGGGCTTGCAGGTGGTTTTAGAAACATGCAGGCGATACTCGGATCATCCCTGGGGTGCTACACCTATGTGAGAGGGCATAATATGGCTTCCAAGCTGCTGATTTCTCTGCACAGTGAAAAAACTATCCAGGGGGACGCTGCAAGACCCCCGTTCGAGGCAGTCGGCTGGGCAGCACGCTTGCACATGCCCTTCTCCAACTGTGTGCAGCTGCACCATGCTTTAACTGCAGGGAAAATGGTCGTGGCTGGTGGTTTTACTCCTAGTTCCTCCAGAGAGCAGGCATTAGCCTCTCCTCGTCTGAGGCAGCAACATACACAGGGGTTCCAGTGTGCCTTCGCTTTGCGACAGCTGTAGGACATGGGATTATCTGGCTTTTATATTTCTGAGGAGGAGAGGAGGAAAAGAAAGGAATTCTTACAGTTGTGAAGAGGGGAAAATAATTTCTGGCCCTTTGTTTTGATGCAGACTCTTCTGACATGGAGTGAAATTTACAGCCTACTGGTTTTCTCATTGTTTGGGAAAGAAGGAACATATTAATTATAATGCTGCACCAGAGCTGCCAGACAATTAGAAGAGAAAGTGTCTTTGACTTAGACTGTCACAAGTCAGGGCAGCAGACTCTGCTTTATTAGGTGTAGCAGGGCATTATTTGTGTCTAATTCACATTTCAGAATCTGTTCTCTGTGGCAAATCGGCATTGCAAACCAAGAATCGCATCCTGTATGGCCCTCGGACTGTCGTTACCCTCTCACAAAATGAGACAAACAATAAATTAGATAGAGACTAATTTTATTTGGTGTCATTTAATATATAAACTTAATTTATAACCTCTTTTTTTTCTTTTTTTTTTTTTTTGGCCATAGGATTAACTCAGAATTGGGCCATTTTAAAACCAGTGCTTGGAGCCAGGTGGCTCATGGAGATCCCTTTCCTGGTTCAGGTGCTTCAGCTGACTTGGGGATGCAGCAGAACCTGCTGGAGGCAGTCACTGAACAGCAGCCAGGGACTGTCCTGCTCCTCAGGAGGAATATTCCAGCAGAATTTAGGGACTAAGCATTTGTTGTTTCTCTTCCTCACAGAAAACACCTTCTGCAGCGGTGACCATGTGTCGTGGCACAGCCCTTTGGACAACAGTGAATCCAGAATCCAGCACATGTTACTGACAGAAGACCCTCAGATGCAGCCAGTGCAGACTCCTTTTGGGGTCGTTACTTTCCTACAGGTATGACACCCAGCAGTGGTGGCTCCATCACTTCCTGGGCGTGGAATGCAGCTAACACTGCATTTTATTTAGCTTTGATAAGTCAGATGCTTATTCACTTGTCTTCCACCTTGCTTCCGTGTTTGATTACTATGAATCTCACCTTTGAGGTGTTACCCTGGAGGTGTTCAGTAAGGATTTTACTGGGATTGAGTAATGGCACACTCAGTTCTCAGGATAGAGGCCTATCTTATGAAGAAAAGGTTTACACCCTGAAACACACCTGGAGTTGAGTATTACCTTACTGCTCTGAAATTTCAAACACAAATGGGGGGAAAAAAGCTGAGAGAAACATTTTAAAATAATAATAATAATAGTAATACAGGGCTAAATTCACATTAATGTTATGGCAGTACCAGTGTTTGATCCATTGGTTTCAGTTCTAGAAGAGATGTTTTTAGTAGGACTGGCAAATTATTGTAGTTATTTAATGGCCGAACTGTAGCCTGCCACATAGAAATAAGGATTCTTTAGAGGCTACGTGGGTTTGCCTGTACTGATCTGTTTAAGAAAGGTTCAGGTTTGCTTTGCAAATGAAACTACCCTTGTGTATTAACACTACTGCTCAGTGAGGGGAGCTTCCTTGGCCAAACAGGTTTGCTGGCTGTCCCAGGTTCCATTTTCTCAGTGGTGTCCAAGCTTCTCTTGGACAAGGGCTGCTTTGAACTTTTAAAAAATTACATGTGGACTTATTAACGTTAGCAAAAGAGTTGACATAGCAGAGTTGACACCAACTGCTGATTTTTCCCTGCTCTTTGAAGAAGCTTCAGCCACATGGGAGAATGCAAGTGTCTGTATTTTACAGTTTAAGCTTCTGTTTGTTTCCATTAGTGCTCAGCTGTAGTTGCAGCGCATAAAGGGAAGCTCCATTATCACAGACCTGCACAAGGCAACTGCTGAGCAAGGGCAAAGGCTTTCCTGAACCTTCCAATTTGCCCAAAAGTCTGTGTTGTATCAACAAGAAAGAGACGGGTGTGGGGTTAATCAGTACAAGGTGAATTGTAGGGTCTGGAAGCAGAAGTAGAGACTCAAGCGAAGCAGGGTGATTCCTGACTGACTCCCCAGTTAGTGTTGCATTAGTCTGCATCCCTTCTCTAGTGCCCAGCTGGTCAGGATCAAAGGACAGTCAGCTTGTTGCATCCTGAGGCTGTTGGCCTCCAATCTTCTGCAGCACGTTGGGTTGACTTGTTTTTCCCCTTTGTTTGTTTGATGCTCGTTGTTATGGATTCGGTTTGACCCACGAGCATAAATGATTGCAAAAAGGCAAGAATGAACACAAAATAATTTCCTGTTTAGAGTCTTGCTGTTTGCATGTAATTAGTGAGTAAAGGCGCAGGGAGGGGTGTGCTGAAGTGAGGGTGATTCAGGCTGCTCACGGAGGAAGCCTGGGAGGTGGGTGGGGGTGAAGGTGAGTTCCCAAGGGCTGGGTCCTGAGAAAGTGAGCTCTGCGAGGGGCAGAGGAGGTAGGGTAGCAGAAGTGGGTACGTGCTGACAGGTTTCCACGCAGATCTTGGTCAGTGCAGATACTTGCTTGTGGTGAAGGCACATCGTGTACTCTTGCTTACTGCTCTACAGGACTTAAGTTTTCAATTTTCCTGTTCTCTGATAAAGCACCACTTGAACAGATTCTGACCAAGAATCCAATGTCATTGGGAAAGAAGTCTTGAGAGACAAAGCAGAAGTCCGTGGCTAAAATCTTTTCTCATCCCAGGGGGTGAATCATTGTGTTCCAAAGCACAAGCCAGTGCTTGATGGATCAAAGAAAAAACAAAAACAACTGCCATTCTCTATCAGCTGAAGAATATTTCACCCCTTCATCTGAAGCGTCTGATCTCAGCTGCTGTGAGAAGGATGTCTGGTATTGTTCAGTGTGGTAGATCTCATCCTGAAGAGCAAACACATCCTGCCTTATGCAGGAAGGCAGAAGTCTGCAGTTGCCTGCAGTGAGGAGTGGATTATGCCTTATGTTAGCAGCTCTACTTTGTCGTGGTAGGTGAGATTTAACCAGTCAGCAAACAAAGTCGGTCAAGGATCCATGAGCACCAAAGCGTTCCTTGGTGGCAGTGAGTTTCCTGCCTGATAGAAATTGATGGTTTGTTATTACTTGTGCTCCTAGCAATTGGCCAACAGCACGGTGTTCTGTGTGTACTCAGACCCTAACCTGTCCTGGCTTGGTTTCTCTTGTGTGGACTCGATTGAAGTGTGACAACAGACCAGTAAGCCCTGATGTTTCACCAGGCCTTCCTCTTATTTATTTCACACACTCCATGCAACATTAAATCATACATGCCAGGGCACTTCACATGATATTGGGAGGGCAGAAGGAACTGCAGAATCTCTTTGTTGTCTCAGGCTCCTCTTGTCCTCGCTTATCTCGTTAGTTCAAAGGAATGGTGCTTCTCTGTATCACTACAGTTTGATCCAGCACCATGTGGCACGTGTTCTTCACAGTTTTCACATCTCTGTTTTTATTTCTTCCAGATTGTTGGGGTTTGCACTGAGGAACTGCACGCAGCTCAACAATGGAACGGGCAAGGGATCCTGGAGCTGCTTCGGACTGTGCCAGTGTAAGTGTTCCTGTAGCCCCATACAGAGGGGCGTACTGACAGAGAACAATTCAGTTTCTTTTTATCAACAATCTTTATTTAACTGGTTGACGGAACTTATTTAGTCCTATGCTGTAGCTAAAGATGGGAATTCATTGCAAATCTGCTCGCACACAGATGCTCAGATGGCAGATTAATGCATGTGGAAGTCCACGTGTTCAGGGTGGGACACAATGAGCTTTTACAAGCTAAATTTCCTGTCTTTTGCACCTGCAGCATTTTCCCATTGGTTCTTCCTGAAGGAGCCGAAATAACTGTTACTGCTGACCTCTCTGAGTAGTTCGAAAGAAAGGGAAGTGAGGGTCTGACTTAGAGTGCCGAGCAAAAGCTTGGGTACTGTCTGAAAGTGAGAAAATCACTCTGTCCTGAAGGGCCAATTTGCAGTAGAAAGAGTGTTCACAGGAGTGAAGTTCATCCTGTTATTTCTCCCTTGACAAAACAAAGATATTGTTGGGTCAAGGAGGAGACAGATTTTAAATATTACGTAATCTGTTGATGCTTTATTTGCTGCCAGGCTGCAACCAAACTTTTTTGACTTGCAGGCATTTGCTTTAAATGTTTTTCTCTTATATTTTCCGATTATTGCAGTGTGGTAGTAGCTCAAAACATTTTAAACAAAGTGGTTTTGAGTATGTGCTCCAGGGCACAATAGTGCAGTCTATAATGCCACAGTGGGCTTTAATTGATTGATTATTTGGAAGAGTCCAGCCTTTGCTGCTGAATTTCTTAAACTTGAACTTTTCCCATTTAGGCACAAGTGCAAATAATTCATGTGATTGCCCTGGAGAAGAGGGAATTTGTCCATCTGCAAGCTTTGTTTCTGGGACCCCAAGACAATAAATGCTGTCTGCAGCTCCCTTGACTCCTCTAAACCAATGCAGATGTAGCACCCCTCTCCCCAGTCTGTTTTCATGTTGGTTTTTGGCTTTTGTGCTGTGGCACAAGCACCTTTCCAAGGATAAAATGAAATCCAGAAATGTGTCTGATTCAAAGGCAAAGCTGCAAACTGCTGAGCTGCTGATACGGAGCTAGGGTAAAAGGCTCTTGCGTCCCAGTGAGGAACAGAAGCAGGTGGCACTTCTGCAGTTACAAATTAACAGCTTCCAAAGTGATGTGAAAAAAGAGTAGCTACCGATGCATCCGAAAACCTATAAAATATTAACCTTTATTGGTCTGGCTGCAAGTGCTTTAGGAGTCTAACACAGACAGGGCCAGAGGAGGGGGCTTTTGACTGCAATAACAAAGTATCTCATAAAAAAAAAAAAAAAAAAAAAAAAGAAAAACAACTCTGGTGATTTCACAAGACTTCAGTTTTTATTTCAATTGAAAAGCTTGTTTTGAGGCTGATTTCTACAGCCTTGGGTGCACTGTGACCCAAAGTAAAGTCCCCAAGTAGTTCATCTTCACAGTAATCTTTCTATCGCCTCTGTTGGGGTACATCTTGACCCTTCCAGCTTTCATTGCTAGCGAAAACAAGGATTTTGCTGAACCATCTGAGTACTCAGCCATTAAGTACCATCTGGGCAGAATGTCTATTGTGAGGATATTCATCAGAGCAATGAGCTTTTTATGGTGCTGAACATGACTGCTGATCTCAGCAAAAAGGGAAGTCCCATTGGGACCCAGCTGCATCTTCAGATGCTTAGGAGAGGTGTAAATCTTGACCCATGCCTTGCTGATCTCTCATGTACCTATATCTCATATACCAGGTTATGTTGGACTTCTCAGTCCCAATTCAGTTACCTATAAAACTCACTTCAGTCTTGTACGAGGAAGTGGGTCCACACATGGGATAGCCTGCATCAATCTAGACTGCCCTGTAGGACTTTGTGGTGCCAGACACCAGGCAAGTAACAGGTCACGGAGGGCTTTCATTACTAGCTAAAGCCTTGTTTGGTTCATTGCCTTTCTTTCTTTGTAGAGCTGGAGGACCCTGGCTGATAACAGATATGCGAAGAGGAGAAACGATATTTGAAATCGACCCACATCTGCAAGTATGTCTTTAGTTAATAAAACATCACGTCTTTTGTGGTAGCCAGGGAGAATGGCTTTAATGGCATAAACCAGTTTTATTATTTTCTGTAAAGGTGCTGAGATCTTCTCAATTTTTGCAGTAATCTCAGAACAGTCTTAGAGACTGTTTGCTGGCTCAGAAGTGGTTCAAGAGTGCTCATATTCTGCCCCCAGTGGATGGTGGCTTTAGGAGGAAATGAAGAGAAGCTAGGCCAAGAAAACACGATCAATGAGACCAATTAGTAAGATTTGTGGCATGTTTAAGAAAGGAGGAAAACAGACGATGAAGAGTATAGAACAGTATCCACTTTAGAGATGGTAGAGCAGGAGCTTCCTCATTTGTTTTATATGGAAGCATAAGGAGAAATAAGACACAAAAATCAGAACAAGTAGTTTTTATTTCTTAGCAAATGAGACAGCGTAGCTCATTCCTGTAGGATGTCACTTGAAGCCAAGTAGTTAACACGATCTGGAAAGCTATGGCGAGCCAAAAGCCTCTCATGACGTTGTTAATAATACGTGCAGGAAGGTATGTTAAACGTTCTGCTTCAGAGCTGAAGTTGTGAATTTCCCAAGTTTAAAGATAAGATCAGGACCTCTATGGAGGGATTACCTCCATCCCGTGACCTACCACCGATTCGTGTGCTTGGGAAGCAGTTCTGTGCCCCTTCAGCAGAGCTGTGGGACTGGAGAGCAGGGGTCCAAGACAAATCCAGCGTGGTGCTGACCTCGTTTTGGTGACTCACGGAGTATTTCCCTTTAACAGAGGACTTATGGCGTAGCCTGGTAAGGCACGTGCATATGTGCACGTTTTGTACAAGCTCTTGCGTTCACTTATGGTCTGTGTGTCTGTATCTGATTACCCCCAGTTGCCTCACAGCATCTTTTAATTTGAAAGCTCAGGAAGGAAACCAAATTCTACTTTTACTGTTCTGAAGAGTTTGCTCATCCAAAATAACAACCCCAGCCTGAGAGAGAAAAAAAAATGCTCCGCCAACGTCCCACAGTGTGGGAGCGAATACAACTGCAAGTTTTTCAAGCGAGAGTTTTCAGGCTCTTCAGAATTTCGCCTGTGTGCCCTCTCCCCTCCTGGAGGGTGTTGTCTGCTCTCTGCAGCAGCGGTGATTCCTCACGATAACAGGGTTTTCTTCAATTTACTGTAAATGAGAAGTGGCTGGGCTTACTGGAATCTGAGTCAGCCAAGGCAAGTTAAGGCAAATAAAGAGTACTTCTGCCTCACCAGCGTGTCCTGCCACTGACGGCTGCTCCGTCTGTGGTCTTTCCGGACTTCCTCACATTAAAACATTCCTGTTTCTGTTCTCTCTTGCTCTTTCAACAATGAGTATGCGCAGGTGTGCGCTGCTCCTTCCTGCCACGCTCCTACAGACTGCGGGGAGACACGGAGCAAAATCTGCAGGGACAAGTCCTGAAAAGAGCCCAAAACCTGACCGTGGGCAGGGCTGGGCCAGCCCTCCTGCCCACAATTAGTGAGCGAAGGATGAAGTGTCATTCCCCTGGCATTTTTAGTGGTGTTACACGGCATGTGGGAGCTGAAAGGCACAGCCAGCGGATAGGTGGAGGCGAGGGGGGAGAGAAAATGACTTCCCAGGGCGCGGGTAGAGCTCGTTGTGAGGCTGCTTTGTCTCTGGTGGGAATGGGTTGAGGCCTAAACCCAGCCCTGGCAGCAGCAGCTGTACTTTCTGTTCGAAGTCGCTGCGAATGGATCCCAACTAAGATGTCATCCCAGGATGTCAGCAATTAACGCTGTGGCAGCGCTGGCTGCTTTCTGTGCAGCCAGGCTTCCCTGTAGGCCGTTCAGATTTCCCTGGCAGCGCCGTCAAGCAGTCCCTGTTGGTCCCCAGCTCTGTGCTGATTCTCTGTCTTAGCAGATATCTCAGAAGAGAATAAAGCTGATTTGAATTTCCTGAGTTGTGGTTGCTGCTCTGCGGGTCACGCTGCAGTGCTCTGGCTCGTTTAGAAAGGGATCAGTGGCTTAGAAGAGCCTCGGAGCATCCCTCCCACATGCTGAGAGGAAAATGGGACAGAAACATCCTTTCTTTGAGGAAGGGAAAAGCTGAACCTCCTTTGCCCTGGGCTCCTCCAACCTCCTGCTCAGGCTGCCCTGAAAGGGAGGAAGAAGAGCCCCTCAGCCCAGGCACATCTTCGCTGGCTGGGAATGGGGGAAAAAGCACTGCTTTTCCCCAAACCGAGAGCCTGCGTTGGTTATTTCATCTTATTTTCTCCCCCTTCGACATCGATGCTTACAAACACAGGCAGCCTGAGGCCAGCTCGTTCCCATCAGCTCCCCTTGATCTCCAAGGGATGCCAGCAGAGCAGCGCTTCTTCCCCTCGAGGAAGTGCTCTGCAGAGCAGCTGAGATGCAGGCGGGGGCTGCAGAACATCCCTCTCCCCCTCCCCGAGGCGTCCTGCTGTGCTGCGAGCGGGGCCTCTGGCTGCAGGGGATGGAGCAGCACATCCCAGAGACGTCCAGCTGGAGTCCTCAGGGCCCTTCATCTCCCTGCTCAAGGGCAAGTCTAGTGGCCCTCCTTCACTTCCCAATCTCTGGAATAAAAAAAAACAACCAAGCTGACAAAATCCCCAGCTGATTTGGAGCCTCGCAGAGCGCCGGGGAGGGCTCCCCGAAGGGCCACGTGGTAAATCTCGCTCAGAGCATCACCAGCATATGTAGAATCAGATGCAGGGCTTGTTTTTTTTTTTTTCCACAACTTCTATTTCTGGGCTAAACAACTAATTCTGTGTTTAGCATGTAACAAAAGAAAATTCCAGCCGCTGTATTATTTCTCAGATTTTCCCATTCCTTTTTCATAGAAGCCAGTTTTCCCCTGACGCCAGAGGAAGAGCCCGGCAAGTAGCCTTCTTCCAGGGAGAGAGACGGAAGGAAGGCAGTCTCTTGAATACTTAAGCCAGGACTGCTGTGGTCTTACCCCCCTCTGCCTCCCTTCTTGGGCCAGAGAAGCCAGTTCAGGAAGGTGAAAAAGCTGCAAAAAAAAAAAAAAGTCAGTTGGCTCAGGGGAAGGGGTAGGAGCACATGGAGGAGGGTGGGACTGCAGCCGCTGCGAATTACATCAGCTTCAAATGCTGTGCAACCACACCCCGAGCGCTCGTGCTTATCTCTGAGCTGCTCAAATCCCCTCTTGGATGGTCACAAGAGCAAGCAATGCTCTTTATAGGGTACAGTGGCTACAGCTGGGCAGGGGGAGGCGTGTTTGAGGTTTTAGCTTGGAAACTGCTTCTTGGGGAACATCTTGCAAAGCACCGAATGCTCCCACGGTCTCTTGACTCCAGTGGCAAGGTCAAACCCGTAATAATGAGCAGCAAGGTCTGCTCCTGTCGTGTGGGACACAACTCTGCTCTTCCCTCAAATCTGCAAAGTTTCTGTCCTGCAAGCAGTGGGACTTACCGTGTATTTTGAGGTGACCCAGCTGGATGTAGTGAGATGGGGATCACTGGTATGAGAAGTGACACCCCTACAGAACAGAGGAAAACGAGACGGATTTATTCGGTGCCAGGAGAGAGGTGCCAGTGTAAGAGCAGCCCTACCTCGGTGCAACCCAGCCCTAAGTCTGTTCAGCTCAACATTACCCCCTTGTGGGAAATGGGTGGAAATTCAGAGGAACGACAGTTCCCATTAGGTAGGTGTCTGCTGGAGGTTTTGGGTGCAGCTTAGGGGCCAGTCTTGCTGGCAGCAGATCCAGGTGTCCTTGAAAAAATGCGTGGTGTCTGAGAGCATCCAGCTGCTCGGTGGTGGTGTGTGACACCAAACGGTGCTTTACATGCTTGGAAAGTCCAACTTGCAAGGGAGGGAGCTTGTGTGTTTTGATTTTGACACTTGCATATGGACCAATGTCTCCTTGCACATCTGTCCTCAGCTGAACAGACCAGCACAGTACAAAGCAGTCATTGTATGGGCAGTTTGCAAACGGTGAGCTCTTGGGAACCATGGGTCTCCGTGTGAACTTTTTGTTGTGGGACTCTTTGGTAAGCTTGGAAAGGGGTCTTAGTTATTGGTGGGGTTGTTATCAGTGGCATGTAACAGGTAGACTGAGAAGTTTTGCTTCGTATAGGAGTATGTAACTCACCTTTGAGTAGGTGTTAACGTAGGAGCAACCTGGTATCCCCCAGAATTCTCATTTTCACCTCTGTCTTTACCTGATTTATGCCCTTGAGCACCCCAGAGGGAAGCAGGGAGGAAAGGCTCGGGGTGCAGCTCAGCCTGCCATGAAGGTTGTTCCAGCTCACATCAGCTGCAAGATTTGGCTCAGTGTCTGGCCATCCTTAGCTGATATATCAAAGCCCAGGGGCTGGAGAGCAGAGGCTGGCAGCAGAGGGGGAGATGTAGGAGCTGCTGACGGCAGCCGTGCTCGTGCTGCACGAAGCCAGGGTGGGTTTCAGCTCAGGGTCAAGTCACACCCAAAAAAGTCGTGGGGTTTTGGATCTTTTCAAGCAGGAGAGAGTCGACAAAGGGATTGAGACAGATGGCTCAAACCTGAGCGGAGTGAGTGCCAAATGTGCCTGGGACGATCTCAGCCGGCCCCCCGAGGATGATGAAGACAGCAGGAGCATTTGCATTGGGACCCAGCCGCGGCGGCTCTCCGGGAAAGGTAAGAGGACCTGGGCTGAGTTGCTGTCATGGCCTTTTGCCCTGTTTTCTGACTGGTTTGGGCAGCATTGTGGGGTTCATTTAAAAAAAAAAAAATCAGCACTCGTGCTGGAAGGCTCAGTATGTCTCAGGAACAAAATGTATTTTGGTGTGGCCTCTTTGAGGAAGACAGGAGGTAAGGAGATCTTTGCATTGTTTTCTTTAAATACGTCTTTCAGGTTTTAGGCTATTTGTAGTCTAAATCTGCAAAGTTAAGCTGAGAACTGGGTGAAACCGGGGCTGTTAGCACCTGCAGGGTGACACAACTGCATTTTCCCAGGCTGTGTTTCCTTTTTAACTTTGTCACTTCTTGGGTGGCACAACAGACTGACACTGCATGTTGCTGTAGCTGAACTCAAGTGAATCTTGCAAATACAGAACTCTGGAAAGAAAAAAATAAATACGGTGGAGTTCCCCTTTGCAGTGAGATGCTGCGTCAGGGTACAGATGTTGTGGCCATTAAGCATGCCTGAAATTGCTATCTTTCAAACAGGCAAAGTAACATAAAATTGGGGGGTTTGAGATTTCTTGGACTTAATGATGTTTTCCTTAAGAATGGTATCTTAAGTCCATGATAGCCAGTTTTTAAATCCATGTTTTAAAACAACCAACCAACCCTGTACGGATATATGGATCTGTCTGGCTTCTGTGCATATATTTTGAATGGCATTGGATCTAAAAGGTCTAGACAGTATTCTTCCTCAGCCGTGCAAATGCAGAGCCTGGGACAGGCATAGATGATATTTGTATGTCGTATCCTTCAAAAGATTTTGAAATCATTTGGATATTTTTTCCTGATTATCAAAAAAGATCGGGAAACTTCTAAGCGAGTTAAGAAAGCATCCTGTTAAAGTATTTGGCCAATCAACATCACAGGAAAACGAAAAAGCAAGAACGCTGCATCTGAGCTGCATAATTTGCATTTTATTTTCACACGTGAGCTTGAGGCTGAAGTTTACCCTGCATAAAATGACTTTCTTCTTGCGAATCTGATTGTAAATGAATCATCAGATTTACAAAGCCATTTGCAAAAGCTGCAGGATCTCCTTGCCCTCGTTTGGTGAAGGAGCAAACTCCCTTTATGCCTAATGAGAAAAGCAACTTCCAGCACAAAGGCTGGCTGTGTCAGGAGGTTCTGCAAGAGCTTCAGGTACAGCAAACACCTCCTTTATGAACAGATACAAAACTACCCAGAATTTTCTCATTGGAAAAAGCTTCCCGTTCTCTTTGCTTGACATAATGTTGCAACCCAAAACATGAGAATTCAGGCTGACTTTATAAAGTGAAGTAACTGCTGAGGTGCAGGAAGGGCCATTAAGAATTCACCCGTAGTATTTCTTTATTTCGTTCTGAAGGGGGAGAGTTTAGCTGAAATACACCACAGAGACAAGCCTTTTAAGAAAAGCTGGTGTTTCCTTGTGTTATGTGATGTTTCTGGGGACTCTGAGTCACACTAAAAAAATTCTCTTTGCAGATACAGAACAAATCAGGGAGACTTTGCGGAGAGGGCTTGAGATTAACAGCAAACCTGTTCTACCTCCAATAAATGCACAAAGACAGAATGGGTTGAACCATGACCGAGCACCGTAAGTTTCGTCATGCATTCTCAGGTGGTGGGAGGAGGAATGCTAAGAGCTCAGACTGGAAAACTCAGTTAAAGCTGGGTGGGAAAAGGCTTGGCAGGCAGAGAAAAAAGCTGATAGCAAACACTTGCAGAGGGCAAAGACAAAGGAAGAATCAGAATGGTTTGGGTTGGAAGGGACCTTAAAGACCATCTAATTCCAGCCCCCTGCCGTTGGCTGGACTGAGCCCTGTAAAATGTACTGTCAAAAAGTCTTGAGGTATCCAAAGAGCTAGGTGGCATAGGTGAGCATTTGCTGATATTTTTGCCTGCACATTTTATTTCCAAGCTCATAATTAGAGACCTTTTGATTAAAACATTAATATTTTTAAGGTGACTTTGGTCTTGCCTAAGCAGGCAGGTACTGTCAGTAATCACCTGCCAATTATCACCCTCACGTCTAATGGTCTGTACACTAACAGGTGAGTAAAGTGGGACTAGGTGGGCCTGGAGATCTGTCCTCATTTGTGAATTTTGGCTGCAGTAAATCTGTAGGAAATTACCTGTGGTTTCAAGCCATCTGCAGTATCTTCAGTCTTTTTGTGTTTCTTCCATTTTAGGCTGGTTCCTATACTAGTTTAATCTCTTCCATCAATCATAATGTTCTCATCGAAGTGATGCAGAAAGGCATGTATCTTTGCTGTACTCTTTTTGTCTTGGTATTTCCTAGTCTCCCGTGATCATTTGTGCTTTCTTGCTTTAAGAGTAAAGATCATCATGAAATCAGCTCTTTCCTGTAGTGCCAGGCAGGAGCAGCACCTTGCTCTGTTTCAATTCCAGTTTCGTTCTTGATCAAGCATTTCACAGAAAAAATACTGCTCATACTTAATTAGGACTCTGGTGTCCTTTCTTGTTCCATTTTCTGGGTGACCTCTGATTTAATTTGCTTATAAATAATTCTGGGTACTTTGGGAAAGTATTATATCAATTGCTGATATTGTGTACTAATAAGTAAGATGAGATATTAGTGCTTATAAAATTTAAAAAATATATATCAGGTGGTTTTAGTATTGTTTTAGTAATGTTATTTTTGATATGTAGTAATTATACGGAGCCAGATTCTTACCTGACTCCGATTCTGAGTAGTACTTCTCTGCCTGAAGGTTGGTCCCGTTGGCCCCACTGAAAAAATCAGATGATATCATCTCATTTGCAAGAATCAATCACTGCCAGCCTTAGAAATACTGAGCAGGATTTCTCACTGATGCCAGGCTCCTGCATAAATCTGCATGGCAGTAAAAGCTCTCTGTTTGCAGCAGCTGGGAGAGACCAGAAACATTTTGGGTGCTCATCAGGACAAGGGAGGCAGCCGATGGGTAAGCCACAATGCTGGGAGGCAGTTGTTGCTTAGATAAAAAAGCTGTATGCTATTCAGGGTGTGATAAACAGAGGTGTGCTCAAGACAGAGTGCTGAAATGTTCGTAGAGGTCTGTGATGGAGCACACAAATATTTACCTGAGTTTTTGGCTGTTCTGAGACAGAGAGGAAGGCAGGTCAAATTCAGAGCTTCACATCCACGATAGCACCCTTTGTAGCAAAGCTCTTACCTGTAGCAGCTGCACACCCATCCTCCCTGAAGCACGGCTGGTAGGAATGGCTGGTTCCCAGTGTTTGTCTCCTGGAAGATCAATACCTTGCTCTGAGGTCTGTGGCTGCTGCTGTGGAAGCTGATAGCCAGCCTGGTTCTCCGTAATAGCATTGCTGTTAGGGAAAGAGAGCTATCAGGCCGCTCTGTGTCTTACTGGTGGTCACTCTGGTTAACATCTGATCTCCTCAGCGGTGTGCCCTAATACCTCCTTCCTATCTCTGCACTGACTGCTTTTAGAGGAGTTTGGGAAAGGTCTTTTTCGACTTGTGCAGTGGTTTTTCTTCTCCAGTTCATGTAACAGATGCAATGGGACTTGTTTGATGTGTTGTCCTCCCTGAGATGGGTGATTTGTAGTGTCAAGCAGTCTTTACTCATAACTTCTAACTAGCCTGTAGTTAAATCAGACCTGATGATTACCTTTTAGTGAAAACTTACCAGTCAACGTTTTTTCCAGCACACTATGGTACAGGTGAAGCAGCAGCAGCAGATCTTACCAGCACTTGGCCTTTCTCAATGTACTGTCTCTGCATCAGCATTTGAGCAAGGTTGGACAACCTGCTCTTAACCCCATGTGCATGGTCTGGAGTCTCTTGTCTCCCACTGCTGCAGGGGGATGTAGCTCAGGAGTTCAGTTTTTGCATGTAGTGATATATCTCCATCCACATTCCTTTTGGGTACTTGCTGGGGTTAAACCACAACACTGCTGCAAAGGCTGAGACCTACAAGACAAAACCCAGTGCAGATACAGTAACATCCCAGGACTTAGAGGCACCTGAGAAGGACAGCTCTGCACATGGATCCCATCCTTCTGGTGCGATCCTGCTCGGGCCTGGTAGAGCTGGTTCTCAGTTCTGGCCTTCCCTGTGAATCTTGTGTAACGAAAGGCAAGTCGTCCAGCTATTGAGCTTCAGTTCTAAATCTATAAAACGGGACTAATAACAATGTCATCTTCTTGAGGCACCACAAGGATAAATATGTTAACGATTACGAGGTGCTGGCTGATGGGAACCAGGCTTGAGTGTAATCATATCCTGCACTGTACACACCAGACCATAAAATACCAAACCCATGGTTCGTTGCAAGGGTCCTGTGAATAACTGGTGCACTCGGGGCTCCTCAGGAACCTGACAGAAGCACTCTGGTGGGGCATGGCAAATTGTTCCAAATCTCTTTTCCATAGGGAGCACCGCAGAACCCTGTGGCTGTCAAATTTGCACCCAGCTGACATTAGGATGTTAAAGGCTGACATAGACTCTAATGGCTTCGTGCAGAAGAGGAATGTGCTGTTTATTTATCATAGATCTGCAGCCACTGGCTGCTTTCATAGTGGCTTTCTTCCCTTTCTTTTATCCTAACCCTACCACCCACACGCAATAATCTGTCAGGGTTTAAAGCAGACAACCTGTTCTGCATTCAGTGTCACTAAACAGCGTCAGAAACACTCAAACTTTTGAATATTTATTTGTATAAAATTTTGGAGATCCAGATTCCATGTGAATTTCCCCATCTTTGTGTCGTTACAGTTCTTGGTGCTTATGCAAAATCCTCACATTGTTTGGTTCCAGATAGGGCTTGATTCAGCAAGGCACATACTTACACGTTAAGCATTCATATTAGCAGTTGTTCACTGTCCCAGAATCCTAAAAAAAAAAGTTCCTTTGAGAAAAAAGCTGGTTTCTGTCAAAACCCTGTTGGGCAGCTGTAGCACTTTGATTCATTAGTGTTATTACTGTAGACTGTGTAGCCATTTTTTCTCCTAAGGATATGAATAAAGGCACTCTTAATGCTTAAAACTGCATTGGACATCTGTTTCTCCAAATGACTGCTAGCTCAGTTCATAAGCAGCCATTAAATCAGTTTGCGTGCATTTAAAAAAAAAAAAAAATTAATCTTTGGAAACATGACTAACCATTTTGACCATAGGTAACACAATACTCTTGATTACACCTTGGAAAAATGAGGCGTGTATGAATCCAAATGTACTTCCCAGCGGCGCGTTATTTATTTCATAGGACCCCTCAGCTTGGTAGGTGCTGTCGAGATGCAACAAGGCGATGCTCCCAGGCTCTCGGTCTGCAGATTCGCTGTCGCTGGATGCTGCGAGCTGTTCCCAACAGGGAGTGTTCAGATGTCAGACTAAACACTGGTGCTGCTCAGACCTCGGTGGGCTGGAGGCTCCAGATGTCAGAGATCAGTGACACTCGCTCCCTTCGCTGTTTAATTTCTCGATGTAGGAGATTCCAGGGCTGAGGCTGTAATTGCTCCTGGCAACTGGTTCTGTGCTGTCCTGTGAGGCAGGGGAGTAGTATCCCCGCGTTACACGTGGGGACAGAGGAGTTAATTTGCCACAGTTGTGGTGAGAGCCAGGGCTGGGATAGGGGAGTTCTTGACCTTTTCCACCCCTCAAGGGTCCCCTTTATCACGCAGCATTGCTGAAAGTGATGTTTTTCTGCCCCTTGGCTGACTCAGTTCTACTGCTCCTGTCAGCGGAGGCATGGAGTAGAAACCTAGAGCTAGCAAGCTGCATCACTGCATAAGCTGAGGCTAAAATTATCAGTAATTGCTACACTTCATTGTTCCAGGATTCAGGTAGTGCCCACACACATCCCCTGGTGTCTCAAGGTGAGGTTTGGGTAGTGGAAAAAGGTCTCCCAAGGTGCGTCAATATGACAAAACACGAGGTTTATCCAGCATCTCCTTAGTTTATCACTCTCCCTCTTGTCAAGGAGGATAAAGCAGTGTGGTTCAACAGCCTGCTCACGCATGGTTCCCATATTTCTGTCTGGGATTTCCCAGGCAGCAACACACTCTGGTCCCCCCCAGGCCACTCGTGCACAGTGGTCATTTGTCCGGGAGCACACAGCAGATGCCCCAAAGACCTCCAATCCCATCTGCGTTCAATTTCCCGGCAGAAAAACAGGCTGAGTCTAGGGATCCCTTAACATATGGTAGCTGTGTGCCAGTGTGCTAATTCCATCCAGCCCTGAACACTTTCCAGCTGTGGAGGGAAATGAAGGCAGGTCCCTGGCAAACAGAGCAGGGAGCGAGCCTCTGGCAGGTGGGGCTGGCGGCACCGTCCTGGCCGTGACCTCCTGGCACAGGGCACCCTGAGCATCTCAGGTTGGTGCCCTTCCCTTGTGGGAAGAGGGAGGAGCTGTGTCGCTCCAGAAGTCCTCCGAGATCACGGTGTGATGCAGTGCCAGGTGTGGAACAAGTGAATAAGAGTGCAACCGCTTGCGAGACCGGGGCTGCTCTCCGTGTAGCCCCTTTGACTCGGGAAGCAGGGCGTGCTGATGCCTCCTTTCAGTAAACGCTGTGCGTAGCGTTGGGTTGATGCAAATTAACGAGCCCCATCTGAGCAGCGTTTCTGAGGAAGC